TGAGAGCCATGGGACTCTTCAGCCTGGAGAAGCGCAGGCTCAGGGGTGACTTGGTGGCAGCCGGTAAGTACATAAGGGGTGTGCATCAGGAACTGGGAGAATATCTGTTTACCAGGGCACTCCAAAGAAGACGAAGTCTATTGGTCAGGCCGCAGTTGGGAGTACTGCGTCCAGTTCTGGGCACCACACTTCAAAAGGGACGTGGACAACATCGAGAGAGTCCAGAGGAGGGCCACTTGCATGATCAGGGGGCAGCAGGGCAGGCCCTACAAGGAGAGGCTATGAGACCTGAACCTGTTCAGCCTCCACAAGAGAAGGCTGAGAGGGGATCTGGTGGCCATCTATAAACTGGCCAAGGGAGACCAGCAGGCAGTGGGAGAGTCCCTGTTCCCCCGAGCACTACTGGGAGTAACAAGGAATAACGGCCATAAGTTGACGGAGAGTAGATTCAGGCTAGATATCAGGAGGCACTACACTTCAGTGAGGGTGGCTAGAATCTGGAACCAACTTCCAAGAGAAGTAGTGCTCGCTCCCACCCTGGGGGTCTTCAAAAGGAGGCTAGATAGACACCTTGCCGGGGTCATTTGACCCCAGCATTCTTTCCTGCCCATGGCAGGGGGTCAGACTTGATGATCTGCTCAGGTCCCTTCCGACCCTACCAGCTATGAAACTATATAGTCCAATGGTCACAAACTCCTGGAAGACTGTTTTAAGCTGGACATAAGGAATAACTTCTTTACTGTCTGAGTCCCCAAGGCCTGGAATAGACTCTCTGCAGAGGTGGTGCAAGCACCTACTCTGGACACCTTCAAGAAACATTCTGATGCCTATCTTGCTGGGATCCTTTGACCCTAGCTGACTTCCTGCTCCTTGGGCAGGGGGCTGGACCCAATGATCTTGCGAGGTCCCTTCTAGCCCTAGTGTCTATGAAATCACTTTACACACATCTATGTTGAATTACATCCACCATTTAGTTGCCCATTTACTCTATTGCACTAGATCTTCCTGTAGTTCCTTACACTGATGCCTATCTTGCTGGGATCCTTTGACCCTAGCTGACTTCCTGCTCCTTGGGCAGGGGGCTGGACCCAATGATCTTGCGAGGTCCCTTCTAGCCCTAGTGTCTATGAAATCACTTTACACACATCTATGTTGAATTACATCCACCATTTAGTTGCCCATTTACTCTATTGCACTAGATCTTCCTGTAGTTCCTTACAGTTCACCTTGGTCTTTACCACTGACAAATCTGTGTCATCCACAATTCTGGCCACCTCACTGCTCACCCCCTTTTCCATATCATTTATGATTTTGTTAAATAGCACCGGTCCCAGCACAGATCCCTGGGTGACCCAGTTGTTTACTTCTTTCCATCCTGAAAACTAGCCATTTATACTTATTCTTTGTTTTCTATCCTTAAGCCAATTTCTGATCCACGAGTGGACCACCCCTGTAATCTCATGACTACCTAACTTAATTAAGAACCTTTAATAAGGGTTCTTGTCTAAAAGCTTTTTGGAAGTCCATATATACCAAGTCAAGTGGATCACCTTGATCTACCTGCTTATTGACACCCTCAAAGAACTCTAGTAGGTTGGTGAGGTATGATTTCCCTTTGACAGAACCTTGCTGATTTCTCCCCAGCAAGTCATAGTCATTCATGTCTTGAATGACTGACTCTTTTATTATTGTTTCTATCAGTTTTCCAGGAATGGAAGTGCACTAGCCTGTAGCTCACTGGACCGCCCCCTAAGCCTTTTTTTAAATATTGGAGTAGCATTGGAAAACCTCCAGTTTTCTGGTAGTGAAGATGTTTTTAGTGGTAGGTTGCATGCTACAGTTAGGAATTTGGCAATTTCTGCTCTGGACTCCTTCAGGACCCTAGAGTGAATGCCATCAGGTCCTGGTGATTTGCTGCTTTTAGTTTACCAATTTCCTCTAGGATCTTATCAACCAAAACCTCTGTTTGAGTTAGCTCCACAAACCTGTCCCTTGAGAGGAGTAGACCTGGTGTGGGAATCTCCCTAACATGCAAAGAATGCATTTAGTTTCTCAGCAACAGCCGTGTCATCCTTTTGGGCCCCTTTCAGACCCTGATCATCCAAAGGCCCAACTCCCTGACAGGTCTTCAGCTTCTACTGTATTCTAAGAAATGTTTATTGTTATCTTTTATGTCTCTAGCCAGTTTCTCTTTAAATTCTCTCTTAGCTTTTCTTACTTCAGTTTTACATTTAATTTGCTCGAGTTTGTGCTCTTTCCCCCCCACCCCCTATTAGGATTTGGCCTTTCACTAGGGAGGCATTTCCTGAGGACTGACCTGCCACAAGGAGCCCCACCACACCATCCTCCCCAGCAGGGTGTAGTTTTAGGTCATTCCCCAGAACCAATGCAGGCCTACTTGCCCTGGTGTTTCTTCCTCTCACTAGGCTTTCTGATGTTCCTCCTGAGCTGCTTGCTCCTGGGCACTCTGACACAGCCTCCTCTCAAACACACGTTGTCAGTCCCTGGCCCAACTCACTCCAACCCCTTATAGGATGCCTCCCATCCAGAGGCTGTGCTTCATCCCCCTTCATAGCAGCCTGCATGCTGGCTGAGCCCTACCCTCTTTTGGCTGTGATGTCGCCCACTAAAGAGGGAACCTTCAGCCTCTTCTCGGCTCTGGCCCTGCCAGTTGGCATGTCAGTAGCTCTCCGCAGCCCTCGCAGGCTGTTCGCAGTCAGTTCAATTGCCCTTAGGCCGTCTGGTTCTGGCCCCCTTGCACTGACCAGTCGAGGGTTCAGACAGTTAGTCTGGCAGCAAGTGACCTCTCTCTCTACTCAACAGGGGTCCCCGCTCTGGGCCCCACCATAAATCAATCAACTCTCCTGGGCTTGCCTAAAATCCCAGAGATCTTATGCCTGGCATCCTATTACTCTGCTGAGCTCATGAGCCCCTGGCCTCACCACTAGCTATATTGAGGGGCTTGCCTAACCCCTCAGTAGGCTCACAAGCTGCAAGCCCTTCCTAGGCTGGCCTCGCTTTCCCTAGGCTGAGCCATCTCCCCAGGGCTTGGGACCCCACTGGGTCCCTAGGAACCTCCTTCTTCCCCATAATTCCTACCCTGTCCTCTGGAATGTTCCTGGGAGCACCAGTACTCCGTCCAGGAGATGTCACTCTAGTGGCATCCCAGCAGCAACTACTAGCGCTGGTCCTCAGGCCCTGCTCTTATACTGAGGCTGCGCAGCCCTGCCCCAATCAGGCAGCCTCCTGGCTGTCATGTGACCACCTGGTTGGCTCTGCAGTTACCTGCAGGCTGCCTCACAACCTGCTCAGGCCCTTGAAGTGGCAAGCACCCAAAAGGTATACCACACACACCTCCCCCCTTAAAATCCTTCCCAGGGAATGGTCTCTCTCTGCCATTCCCCGCTGCAGGCTCCTCTCCCAGAGCCTGGTACAAGACCATACAGTGGCAAGCACCCCAATGGTGCTCCACCAGTTTCCCTTTTAAGTTAGACTACTGTGATATTTTGTCATCTTCCCTTCCACATGGATGTCAAACCCTACTACACTGTGGTCACTATTGCAGAGCAGCTCAATAACACTTGCACCAAATCCTACGCATTACTTATGACCAAAGATCCTGGTTTTCTCTGATAACCCCCCCAATTTTCAGATTTATGTATTAGTGGCGTTTCATTTTAATCCCAGAAAAAGGTGGATTTTAGGTTACTTTTTTTAATCCAAAAATTGGGGATTTTTTTTTTTTTTTTTAATCAGAGAAAACCAGGATCCCTGCTTATGACTAGGTCAAGAATGGCCTTTCCTCTTGTAGGTTCCAGGACTAATTGCTCCAGCAAGCAATTTTTATAATGTCAGGTCTCTGCATCCCAGTCTGAGATTCAACTGACCCAGTCTTTATGGGTAACTGAAATTACCCATTATTACTGTGTTTTCTGCTTTCATAGCCTCTCTCAACTTCCTTAGAATTTCTAGCTCACTGCTGCCTTCCTGGTCTCTGGGGAGCAGGGGTGGGGTGGTCAACAGTGTATCCCCAGTTATACCTTTTTTCTACTGAAACATGGAATTTTTATGCTCAGAAATACTGTGGTACCCATCTTACTAGTTAAAAATGTCTACTCTATACGATTCAATACAGTCTTTGATAGAGTGCCACTTTCCTCATCAGTATGACCTATTCTATCATTCCTGTATAATTTGGACCCTGGTACAGTGTCCCATTGATTTTCCTCTTTCTACTAGGTTTCCAAGATACCTATTATGCCCATACAGTTAATTACCGCTAAGTATTCAAGTTCCCCCTTCTTGAAGCTCATATTTCTGGCATAAGTATAAAAGCACTTATACTTTTTATTGTTGCCTGGTTGACTACTTGAGTGGGATATTTTAATCAGTAAATCTATGTGTTCATTCTGATCTTCTCTGTACTCCCACTGTGTTTCTTATCCCTATTGTTTATAGCTTCACCCCATAGCATATGTCAAACTGGTTACATTTGCTTCATGTTCTCAAGTTAGCTTGCAACTTCAACATACTTAATAACACAAGGTTCTGAAAAAACAAACAAATGCAACTGCAGTTCCCTCTGCCCAGGCTTGTAACTCTTTTACGCTTTGGGAGAGATTCGTTTTAAAAGTACAATTCAATTAAGGACAGTAGAATTTTGAAGATGGGGTGTCAAAAGCCAAATTTATAGCCTCCTATTATAATACTACAGATGCTGAAGCACAGTGCTACAGGCTTCACGCAACTATCTTAAACTTTGCCCACTGTAATCCTCAAGAGAACGTGCAGCAAGACTCAGCCCAAGGTAAGGAGTTAAAGAGCCATCCGCAGTGCTGAAAGGGCTTCACCCTGGCTAACTTTTAGGGACCTACTAGCTCAGAACTTTGGTACATAGGAACCCTGGGTAAAAGTCCTGCACCAGGTATTGCAGAAGAAGGGTTACACCGTTACACACCTCACATCTTTAGCCTACCCTGCTCCCCACCAACCAAACTCACTTGAGAGCCACAGACTTGGCCTGCAAAGCTGTGCTCCAGAAGTCATCCACCTGCTCCGGAGCCCCATAGGCCTCTAAGCAGGAGCTGAAAGGCACCTTGGCTCGGACCAGCTCAGGCAATGGCTGCTTCTCTTCCTCTGCCTGGCGCTTCTTCTCTTCATATTCTAGTAACTCATCTATGGAAGACAGCACAATAAAAGACAAGCTCCACATGCTCACAGACCCCTGACATTCTGTTGGAGTCTCACAGGCTAGAGTCACAGCAGGGGAATGGCCTGGTTCTAATTTCAGTGATGGACACCACCTCACCATACTGATGAAGTGCAAATGTCTCTGGGGAAGGCCAGCTCAGTTCCATGGAATGAGCAGAAAGATTTAGTTGCATGACAGCAGGGTGTTCAGATCTTTTAGGGATTCCCCACCCTAAATTAAGGAAAGGGTTTGATATCCCCACTTCAACCACTCTCATGTTACTGACCTTTGTTGAGTGCAGCATCCATAGGCACAGGCAGCTGCATAATGTAGTCTACACGTTGAGTGTATTTCACCTTCTCTGTGGCAAGGCACTTGAGCTTCTCCTCCACTAGGAAACGGAAGACCTCGTTGGGGTTCTCCGAGCTGCGGCAGTTCCTCTGGCAAGTGAAAAAATGGAGATGGCTATGCTATTAGGATGGCTGGATAAAAAAAAAAAAAACTACAGAAGCAGCTGCCCACCGTTTCCTGTAACTGTAGGAGCTGCTTCTCCAGCTTTCACCCTCCACTCAGCCCCAAAGTCCTGCCTAAAAGCAGGTGCATTGCAGCTGTGGAATCAACCGTAAATAAAAAGGCTCTGGCTCACACAGAGGTACTGACAACACCATCTCCACCAGGAGCAACCACCAGTGTCCCAAACTGCTAGTTCTCTGTCACTTGGTGCTTCAAAACAGTGGACAATTCCTCTTTGTTGCTCCTTGTCTGCTTAAAGTACCAGCCCCATCCACTGCACCTCAAAAATGGGAAAGGCACCTTCCCAACTGCTGCACCTTCTAAGAATTTGGAGGGAACTTGACTTCATCTTTACCTCCACCATATTAATGAAGTGCAAGAAGAATTCCTGGGCATCTTGCTGACGATTAGTGGAAAATTCTGGGTGCCCTTTGCCAACAAGAGACTTAAACATACGCGGAGCTATGCCATTCTGCACACCCTGGAAGAAAGGAGGAGAGAGAGAGGGGTGATCATAGCCTTCCAAGTGTATGTCCCTGGAGTGTGTTCCTGTCCAGTCCTTGCCACATAGTTTATTAGGAGCCTGTGGCCTGGCTGAGCCTATGGAGCCTCTGTAAGAGATTTTCCCCTTCCCCCTCCATCCAAACACTTTAGTGCATCTGAAATGTAGCAAAAGAGGTTGGGCTAGGTGACCTCCAGCTCTACTTTTCTATGATTCTACAATCCCCTCTCCCATGAGGACACTGAGGTCCTAGTCTTCACCTTCTGGTCTGGTTGTTCCCCATCTGCAGAGGCTGGTTTTGAATACTCTCCTGAAAGCAGTCCATGTCCCAGTTTGGCTCTGGAATGACACACCAATTCCTGTTAGTGTTGAGCTGCTCATTGCTCCACTGCCTCTCCCCCTATTCCTCCCTAGCTTCTCGTCATGTCTGGAATTAGTTCAGTTCACCCTAACCTCAACACTTAGATGGACTTGCCCCAGATAACCTTGCAGAGTTCTGCTCCCACAGACATTATTTCTCTGTCCCATCTTACATTGCTATCCTAAGACTTGAGCAATACCTCCAAAAGCCTTAACTATTCCTTGAGCAGTGGGTAAGAACATTAAAGGGACACTCTTGCCTCCTGATGAAAAGCAGCCATTGCTGGGCTGGGATACAGCAGTGACAGCTACATCTCACAGCAGCCAGGAAAGAAGCCACATATTAATTGGGTCTGCAAAGGTTACCAGGGAAGGCTCAGTGGAATTAGCCTGAGTCAGCACTGGCACCAATGGGAGCAGGCTTCACCCCTCCCTCACTAGCACTCTGATCGTATTTCCCAAAGTGAGAGACTGAGAAATGTTACCAACCTCTCCCCCTGTTCCTAGCTACCCATGCATCCCAATCCATCCAAACCCTGCCCCTTAGCAACTCTCTCCCACTCGCCTGCACAAAAGCTTCCCTTCATAACCCAGCCCACTCTCCCACGTGCCTAGAAGTTCCCCAGGCCTCCTCAACCCAAACACCAACTACCCAGAACTGACAAGGTACCTACAATCCAGACCGAGCAGCTCCCCACGACTCAGAGTTCCCCCTCAGCTCTGAATTAGTTTCTACTCATCATCTTCCAAACTCTTCCCCTTCTCAACAACCATCAGGCTCAAGAGTACTTTTTTTTTTTTTTTTTTTTACTGCTAGGGTTGAAAGAGCAGATATAGCAGAAAATATGTACATGCAGTATGAAGCTCTCCCAGAAAATCCTGTACTCCCTGTTCTGTACTTCCTCCCTGTCCTACTGCACAGCATGTCACAGGAAGCAAAAGCAAAGAGCTTTTTAAATTGCCTGTGTCAGACTAGCCCCACCTAAACCTCTCTATTCTGTTTTGCTGCCAGAAACCAACTCTGCAGAGCCCAAAGCCATCTGCTGACAGCCAGGTAGAGTACAGTTGCCAGGAGTCCCCCAGTGGCAGCACATGGTACTGTACTCTGCCAATTATTGCTTGGGGGGTGAAGGGGGGGGGAGGGGAGGGAAGGGAGGGGAGGAGGGGGACCAGGGGACACACAGGCCTTATGTTACCCTTGGGAACATGTTCTTTTCTCTTTGGGGTATCACACCCAGCATTCCAGTCAAATCTCAGCTCTTGGAACTTCAGTGATCAAAGGATTAGCCAGTTCATTAGTAGGATCTACTTGCAACATGGTACCATCTAAGCCTACATGAAAGAGTAGTCCTAGGAAACCCAGGTTTACCCCCAGCCTCTCCCCCTCCTCTCTTCAGTGCTCTACATACACTTGGGTGCTGAAGTCCTGCGTGGGATCTGCTGGTGCATTTTGGAATATCTTCTCCAGCTTGTCCACATACCTGCAATACCAACCAGAGGCAGAGGGGACATGTGGATGCATCCAGCACAATGAAGGTCCAGGGTCTATGTTCCCAACCATGCAGAAGACCCCAGCAGTAGCAGATTTCA